TAAAGTGGCAGAAATAATAGCACGCTGTACGCTGCTGGGTAGGATCTAGTAAAGAGGAAAATTAATGATGTGGGAGCCAAAGGGGACCGTTGCTGGAAGAATCATCTTATTAGGCGCAGAGGGATGGACTCTGTGCCAAGGTGGGTGGCCGGCCTTGCACAGGAGCACCGACGGCCCGGCTGCAGGAAGCAGGGGCAGGCGGGGGTGTGGCCGGGATAGTGGGAGCAGGTGGCAGGTCTTGGCTGAGAGTTCTCTTTTTTCAGGGAAATAGGAAGTGGGCCACCAGATGAGATGGAGGATGGGGGGGCTTGAGAGAGGGTGGGAGGGAGGGACAGCGAATGGACAGGGAAGTGTTTGTGGTTTCCCAGGCTCCCGAGGTCCCGAGCAGAGTGTAGATTTAAAGTGAGCCACTCAGAGGCGTGGCATGTGTCCTTCAGCTCTGTGCAGACCCCCAGAGCTCGGGGGAGAAAGTGGAGGGTTGCAGCAGGGTAGGGAGTTGAGAGTGTGTGTAAGGGAGGGGTTGGTGAGAGGGACCTCTGCATCTTTTCTGGAGGAGGTAAGCGAGGCCAGGAGGGGAGTGAGGGATGTGAAGAGACGGACTAGTCCTGCAGGTGGCAGAATCCTGGGTGTCAGGGTGCTGCAGGGAGTGACAGCTGGACCTGGGGTGGTTGGAGGGTACTCTTGGAGTTGCTGCAGTTTCTGGTAGCAACGTGGTCTGCGATAGACCATGGGAGTGAGAAGGCCATGACCTTCAGGAGAAGAGGTCAAATAATTGAGAGGGCAGGGGCAGGAAGGACAGTGACAGTGACGGTGGTGGTGCTAAACCCACTGAGGGATGAGGGGGCAGTGACCATCACAAGGTGGGTGGTGGGGTGGGTCTGAGGGCTGGTGGTGAGGATTAAGTGATATTATGTACCTACAGGGGCACACAGTAGGTACTTAGCGAATGGGAGCTGCTTTCATTAATCCAGTTACGATGACGTTCACATGGTTCCTGGCCTGGTCACAGGACAGAAGCTAAAACCAGGAATGTGCCAGAGCATGTGGGGCGGATTCACACGCTTGTTTCTAGCAGGTGTGGTGCCGGCAGGGCCAGCTTAGTCTCTTTCTGGGACCCAGACACCCTGCTCTCAGGTGTGGTCCCACCAGGCCTCTCAAGAGCAGGAAGGGGGGGGGGGACAAATGGGCAGATGGGAGTTTGGGCCGAGCACAAGGACACAGGCCTGTCCTGTCCTGGGGTCACGAGCAGCCCCTGAATGTCACAGTGATGTCTGGTGCATTCCCTGCGCCAGCAGGCCCAGGTCCCTCATCCTGACTGGGTGGTAGGAGCACGAAGGTGGTGAGTGGGTTGTGACCGTGGGCGTTGGGGTAGACACCCCAGAGGCGAAGGCTCCCAGGGCAGCCCCTAAATTTCAGGCCTGGGAACTTCCTGCTCAGTGGCTCTGAGCAGCTGGGGACACATGAGGGGAACAGGGCCCTCGACTCAGGTGCCACAACCGTCTTCAGTGGGTGTTTGCTGCCTTTGCTGCCTGCCGTGTGCTAGCCATCCTGTTAGAAGCACCAACTTCAGACCCTTATTGCCCGTGTGAGCTGCGGCCGGCACTGCCCCCCGAGCCTGTTCCTCAGCTGTTGGAAGGCATCACCTTCCAGGCAGAGCACTTGGGAACGTGGATGACAGCAAAGCGCCTGGAAAGTTTATGTGTTAGGACGCTGTGGGCCCCGTTTCAACCCGGGGTTCAAGTCCCTTCTTAGGAAAGCTTTTGCTAGGAGCTATGGTTATGTGAGTGTTGATCCTTCTGATGTGTGTTTTGTGAGCAGTTCAGGCATTCATTCACACATACGTGCATCCGTTCTCCCGGTCAGTGGGTCTTTGCTGCCGACTCCGCGCTGGGCAGGGCCATAAGAATGGCCAGTGATGCTGGTCGGAGGGAAGTGATGCAGCGGCTCCAGCGGCTTCCCCTGGGCTCCCTGACACCTGGCCAGGCAGGGCTGACCAGGGTGATGGTCCCGCTGAGCGAGGCCAGTGCGGTTTGCACCTGAGTAGGCAGGGCGCTGCACACAGTAGGTGCTCAGTGACAGGACGCAGGGGGACTGCCTGGGAAATCCCTGGAAGCCTCTTACCTGGCCAGTGGCCAGCTCTGTCCCCACCTCAGCTTCCTTCAGGCCTTAGACTATTGCTTCTGTGAAGCAGCCTAGTTCACAGTTAGCCCAGGGAGTTTAACCATGGCCGCCTCATGCCCATCCCAGAGGTTGTGTAGCCTCTCCGGGCTGTGGCTGGTCCTAGAGCTGGAGACAGAGGCAGTGTCTTCACCGCACACACAGCCCCACAGGATGGCACCTTAGTCCGGGCCCAGTGGCTGAGTGGGGGCGGGTGCTCCTTAGGGTGGGCTGTGCGGGGAGTCCTGTCGGCCGAGGGAGAGCACACAGTCCCCTTGCCGAGGGTCCCATTGGCCGTGCTCCAGAGGAGCAAGGTAATAAGGAGCAACTTCCACTTACCGTCGGTATAAATCCCACAATCAGGAAAATTGCTTCAATTGCTAAAAAACGCTGGTGGAAAAGTCCATTTATTTTTCATTTTTCTTGTGCACTTGCCACCCTCACGCATGAATCACTGTCGGTTTGTAGATTAAATTTATACCCCGTTATCTTTCACGTCGCTGGGGCGCTGGTGTCAACTGGGTTTCTGGTTACCGAAAGCCACTGTCTGCCTTGTGGTGGCGAGAGTGGCCCGCTCTGCCCGTGGGTGGCCGGGGGGGGGGTGTCTCCTCTCTCCTGGAGTCTCCCCACAGGCCCCCTTCAGCCCCTGCCCCTCCACCTTTTGGCCGCAGGGAAGACTTGCTTTTGGAAACTCCGGTTCTCCTCAGAGCTGCTCTGCCGCGGCGCTCGCTCCTGGATTTGGGCGCTTTACTTAGGGTTTTGCAGTGAGCATGGAGCAGGGCTCCTGCTATTTTGAACACCTGCTTTGAGAATTGGCCTGGACTGGATACAAACACAATAGGCATTTTGAGAACATGCTCTGAGAACACATACTATACGAACTTCCTTCCTCTCTGTTCCCCCAATCTCTCTCTCTCTCTCTCACTCACACACTCACACACACACACACTCACACTCACAGGATAGAGCCGGTGCCTGCCTGCTTCCCTTTTGAATGCAGGCAATGTGGTTAGATGGCAGGTGTTGAGAAGCCTGGTTCTCACCTGTGTCCTGGAAGGTATAGAACTGACAGTATACTTTGTTCTCCATGCTCACATTTAGCCGTTTCTGTGCATGTCCTCTGAAAACATGCTTGTTTATTCTCAGATTTATGATTCAACAAATGCTAACTCTATTTTTTGGGATTGGACCCCTTTGAGAACCTGTTGGAAGCCCAAGTCCCTGTCTGGATGCAGTTTTGAAAAACTTGGGGATGGTTTGAAGAGCCCCCTCCTGCCCGCTGTAGAGACCTGTTCCATGCACCCCCTTCCTGCCCCCAAGAAAACCCTGAGCCATCCCAGGAGCTCAGAGCTCTGTAGCCCTCCCAAGCCAAACGCCTCAGCCCCTCACACCCCAGCACCCTTCTTAGGCCTCGTCTCAGAAGAGCAGTCCCCTGGGCCACACTCCTGGCTCTCTCAGGGTTACCCATCTAGACTTAGAGACCCCCCCCCAATTCTGTGACATGTCCTGGGAGGGGGACTTCTGAAGCCACAGCTGGCTCGCCTGCTCCAGGCCCTCAGCCCCCAGCAGGTATCATTACTGCATAAGAGACCCATCATTCTGCATTAATCTGGGATTCATCATGATAGCCATGACCATAATTAATTTATTTGGTATTAATGTGGATGAAATATGTACTGTCCTTTCAGGGGAAATCAGGCTGCCTATAAGCATTAGTTAAAAGGACCATTAAAATCAAACCTTCCCCAGATCCATTAGGCGAAGTCTTTCATCCTGAAGAAGATAAAGTTGTGCTGTGTGAAATGTCATGAATAATTAGGTTGATTGCTGTTTTAAACTCTGCCCCTGCCTCCCCACCCCTCCCGCCTCCCTCCTGAAGTGGGGGAGGCTCACCTGCAGCGGAGTGGCCCCCTCCATCGCCCATTCTGTACTGGCCCCCAAGTCCCTGCTGACCTCTATGGCTGCTCGTGTGGCCTGTGTGTCTGTGGCTAGAATGGGGAAAGGAGCTAAAGGACCCCGATGGGCTGTTTGCGAGATGTGTACATCTCCCTTCCTAACTGGGCCCAGAGTGGCTGCAGGTGCCTTCCTCTTGCCTCAGTGCTGGTCCAGAGAGGGGTAGACCAGGGAGGGGTTGGAAGTGGCATTTTCCAGCCAGGTCTGCAGACTCCCTGCCCTGAATGGCACAGGGATATGAACATGCAGCTTCTGGGCCCACCCTGGACCACATCTCAGGGGCTGTGCATGGGAAGGGGATGGAGGCTGGCACGGGGGCGAGGAGGTATGGTTGTGCAGGATGGAGGGGCGAGGCGGGCCCTGCTCTGCTGCCCAAGTGCAGTGCCTGGCACTCCAGGGTGGATGTGCACGTGCTCTCTCCCTGCCACATGGCTCCTCCTGTGGGAGCGCGGGAAGAGGAACTTTGCCGGCTGCCTGATGCTCACCAGTATGGGCACAGCAGTGGCCCCTGGGCTGGTCTTCTAGGCCTCACCACAAAGTCAGAGAAACCAGGAGGCGGAGGGTGAAACGGCCTGCCCGCAGGGGACATAGCCACTCCTCCGTTGGGTGAATTGACAGGTGGACAGTTTGGAGCCCTGGGGTGTCATGTCAGACTTTGAAAGGCACAGGAGAGACTAGTTCTGATCCAGCCCCTTTATTTTGTGGTTAAAGAGCTCAGACACAAAGCAGTGAGGTCAGTTAGAGGCTGGGGGACCAGATGGTAAGCACTGGGTGGTCCAGGGATTGATGCCCATGGACACCCGGAGTGGTGAGGCAGGAGAGGGGCTGATGGGAAATGGGAGGAAACCATTAGCCCCCTGTGCCCTAATCCTTTCATGCCATCCTGACAGGCGCTTCGGCACAAAATGCACGGCCTGCCAGCAGGGCATCCCCCCGACCCAGGTGGTCCGCAAGGCGCAGGACTTCGTCTACCACCTGCACTGCTTCGCCTGCATCATCTGTAACCGGCAGCTGGCCACGGGGGATGAGTTCTACCTCATGGAGGATGGGCGGCTGGTGTGCAAGGAAGACTACGAGACGGCCAAGCAGAATGGTAGGTGGCACTGCCCTGCAGTCCCCCGCCAGGCATTTGTTCAGGCCGGGCCCACTGAGTCCCTCAGAGCCCTGCTCACACCTGCCTCCTGAGATCCGCCCCACATCTCAACAGGGAGTTAATTCTCAACATCCCCAGTCCTTTAGCGCGGCGGTTCTTAACCTGTGGGTCGTGACCATTGGAAAACACATATAGCATATCAGATATTTACATTATGATTACAGTTATGAAGTAGCAACGACAATAATTTTATGGTTGGGGTTCACCACAACATGAGGAACTGTATTAAAGGGTCGCGGCATTGGGAAGGTTGAGAACCACTGCTTTAGCGCTTGCTGGTTCATGGCAGCTTTAAGCAAGTATGGTTAGTGCACCGGTCGTCCACACTGGGCTCAGGAGCAGCCAGGGGCCGTGTGTCATTATCTGGGTGGCTCCTGCCTGGGGTGGGGCTGGGAGGGTGTTCCGCCTACAGTGGACACTTGGGCATACTCCTTGGTCTTGTATATTGGGGGGCATACTTACCTCAGCACCTGTTGACCTATCACTTTGGACTCCAGTCAGCTGTGCTCCATTTCCCCTCATGAGGTAAGGACTTAGGGGTGAGGACCCCTCATGTCTCCTGAAGCCCCAATGCAGGAGCCAAGTGCATACTGAGCCAGTGTCCACACTCAGCCACGGAACTCCCCCCCGCCCCCCACCTTCCCCAGCCTCCTCAGAGTCATTGTCCAGGGTCTGCAGCAGAAGCCCAGGCTGACATTGATGTCAGGCCCAGCATTTCACACCTGGAAAACCTGCCTTCACGTGGGCAGATGGGCAGCAGCTGCTCCTGCCCTCCAATGCCATGTTCTTGGGCAGCCCCGAGCCTTTCTAGGGCCTAGGCTGGGCTTGGACCCCCATTGCTCCGAGCTCCCCTCAGAAAGGCCAAGCCCAACACTCCCCTCCTGCAGCCCTCCTTGGGCTACACACACACACACACACACACACACACACACACACACACACACACACACACACACACACACACGGCTGTGTCCACAGGGGGCGTGCCCTCCACTGGCTCCAAATATGGCATTTGGCCAAACCCAACCTGGGCATCTCAGATGCACAAACTCACAAAACACCAAGGTTGTTTGCCTTTGACTAGGATTTCTATCAGCTCAGGGTATCACTGTGGAAAGCAGCTCTCGTTGACAGCTCTGGGCTTGATGGAGAAAAAATACCAACAACAGTGTCAGTATCTCCTTCTAGAGCTTTCCTGGGCCCCCACACGTCACAGAGATCCGATCACTACATGGGGAAATCAGTTTGAAATGAAGGGTTCGCGGTGGTGAGGAGGCAGAGGTAATCTCGGGGCTAGCCGGCTGGAGCCGAGCCTGGCTTTGGTGGAAGGTGGGAAGGGGTGCTGAGTCAGGGGCCGCCTGTCTCTCTCCTCCCACCACCCCCAGCTCGGCCTTTTGGGGTGTACAGGCCTTTAGTCTCTTTCTCTTTCTGGGGCCTCTGTAAGCACATTCTAGGCTCTTTGCTTTAATGGATTTATCTGCTCTGGTTCCTTAAAACTCACTTGATGCTGTTGCTTTAAAGTCAATTATGATGTCACAGAAGATTAGGGCATCTTGTCAGGGATAAACCATCAGAGCAGATGGACTGCGGGTCCCACGCTGCCGTTGGAGTGCTGATGCCCTTCAGCAGATACCGGGACTTGCACGGCCTCCCCTGGGGCCGGCTTGTTGTCAGAGGCCTTGTTTGGGCCCTGCGCACACCTGGCCTGGCATCCTCCGGTGGTGCAGGGAAGGGCTAACACTAAGAAGACCCATAGGACCATGGAGAGACATGTGATTTAGCCTCAGAACCTGGGGGCCTTACCGCTGGGTCACTCACAAGTCAGGGTCCCTTCTCAGCTCTCCAGGGGGGACAATAGCACCTGCCACATGGGGCTGTTTCCTGAGCTTAAATAGGAGAAAGCATGCAGAATGGGATGTTAAGTGAGGGTGAGACCAGCATGGAGGAGAAATGTGAACAGGGAGGTGCGATCCACTTAGGTTCTCAAGGAGCTACATAGTTCTGACGGGTTCCTCTGTCTCCGCCGGCAGTGAAGCTGGGGCCACGTCACTCCATCCTGTGAATTCGGGGTGATGCTGAGGGCAGCAGGGGACCTTTGTCTGCTCTGGGACATTTGGCTCTTTTTATGTTTTCATTCCTCCTTGCTAAGCTACACCCTCTTTCAGGCTTACAGTTCCCTCCCTTGTGCTACACAAAGGATCTGATATCAGCTGTTTGTACTTTAGTGTGAATGATTTTGTTCATTTGTTTTACCACCCTGGATATCTGCATTTTCAATATGATGAGGTTGTGTTTTGTGCCAGGGACAAGTGCTAAGAAACCCTGAATAATTCAAAACTAACCTATTTTAAGGCTAATTTTCCCATAGGAATTAATGTAAAAAGAGAGGGATGTATTCTGGGAGCACATAAATCCATAACCGGTGAGATGTATCTTTGCCTTAATGCTACTTTTTATTTTCTCAGCACTGTCTCTAATACCTCGCAGAATGCTCTCTCCTAAATTAACAGCCCAGGGTATCATGGTCTTGCTTGGCCTTCTTCATAGCCTTTTATCACATTTAACTTCCGTACCAAAGTTATTGATTTTTGGGTGCATTTTTCAGCATGAGCACGGCCACCACTACTTAATGAATACTTGGATGACATTATTACAGGATATAAAGAAGATTTTAAATTATAATAACAGTGAATGTTAAAATAACAGCATAATAGTCCCCATAATTGCAAGAAGAAGGTCCTGTGCAGGTAGACAGCAGTGCGGAAGCCATGCCCACCAGCCAGGATGACAGGGCGTATCCCAGGGGCACTGCCATCTGGTTGTGGTGAGAGCAATTTCTAATTCACTAGGGCAGCCTACTTTGACAGTAAGCAATTCTCAATGAATTAAAATTTTGTGGTGGTTTCACTATTTCAGATTTTATATGTAAAGTGTATAGGTATTTTAAAAGTGCACTATTTGATATCTGCTATCATGCTGGCATCTCTATAAAAACAGAATTAAGTAGAGTTTTGGAGGTTTTCTGTGTCTGCCACAGTGGCTCTGGAATCCTTCCACTCTGGGTTCAGGACTCCAGCCCATAATTTATGAACATTTGTAGATGACTGGTGAATGCATGGGCCACCCTTGCGAGGGGCCCTGGAGGGAGGGACAGCCCTGAACCCAGACTTTAGCTCCTTCACCTTCACAGCATTGGTCATACTCACAAGGAAGTCCACCAGAGTGTTGGGCATGACAGGAGATGCGTGGAATGGACTTCAAGTCACTTTGGAAAGCCTGCGGTGTAGGAGTGGGCCATGCCACTCTGCCTCCCCACTGTTCTGCCCATAGCAGGCGAGGTCACATGTGAGGAGAGGAGGTGGGCTGAACTCAACCAGTAAGGTTTTTATTGCAGATGACTCAGAGGCAGGAGCTAAGCGGCCCCGGACCACCATCACAGCCAAGCAGCTGGAGACCTTGAAGAATGCCTACAAGAACTCCCCCAAGCCTGCCCGGCACGTGAGGGAGCAGCTGTCCTCAGAGACGGGCCTGGACATGAGGGTCGTACAGGTGAGACACCAGCTACCTGGCCCAGTACTCATTTGCCGCCTTGGGATCCAGGGCCCAGTGACACTCCTGGGAGGCCCAGGGCCAGTCTGTGTCCTCTACATGGGAAGGCATGGGAGTGGTATACATACTGTGTCACTGATCCTTTTGGGGACTTGGGGCTCAGGGCCATGATCCTGGGGAATTTGCCCAATTGGAGATATCTCAGGCTCAGGCAGAGGGAGCCATGGGCACAGTGTACTCCTGGCCTTGAACTCCAGTCCCTGTCTCCAGCCACCTGGGGGCTGTGGGGTTGGGGTGGGCATCCTCCAAATGTGTGCCTTGTGCTTGTGTGGCAGGTTTGGTTTCAGAACAGAAGGGCCAAGGAGAAGCGCCTGAAGAAGGACGCAGGACGGCACCGCTGGGGACAGTTCTATAAGAGCGTCAAGAGGAGCCGGGGCGGCAGCAAGCAGGAGAAGGAGAGCTCTGCAGAGGACTGTGGGGTTAGTGACAGTGAGCTGAGCTTCCGAGGTGAGCAGGGCTGGAGGGGCGAGGCACAGTGATCCTTGACATTCAGAAGGGATTTTCTTGAGGCCTGGACAACTCCCTCCTGGACACAGACTCCCCGCTGCCCCTGGCAGTAATGGGTGGGGGAACATGGAGTGGCCCTGTAAGAAAACGAGAGAGCTCTGCTGCTGAGATGTGCAAGCTGGTTCCCTAGCACCGTGAGCCCCAAGGCCTCCCCTCCTGCTAACTGGGGCTCCCTCACCACCCCGTGCACCTGTGAACAGAGCCGGGTCTCAGTCTGTGCACTCAGCCTCTCTGCAGGGGCCCTGGCTCCCTCCCAGGATTCCTTAGTGACCCCTTTCTCCACACCTGATGGGGAGGACATGCTCTTCAGGCCCTGTGCCCTGGCAAATCACTACTGTGAGTGCATGTGAGATGGGGAGCAGCCTCACTTCTGAATCCCTTCCCCTCTGCGCACTTTATCCTGCTCCCGCCCCTGCACAAATGCTTTGGAGCATGCGCTAAGTTCAAATTGGTGCATCAGCAACATTGCAAATGACTGTGTTTTGAGTCCTTACGTTGTTTGCAAATAGCCGTAACTATTCTCCTAGCCTGAGTCCTCAGAGCTGGGGTCAGAAATTGGGTTTCCAGTTGTGGCTCTGTCACATGGATCACTTCTTGAGCCTCAGTTTCCCCACCTATAAGTAGGGAATAACCACATCCTTGCCCATCGCACAGTGGTGTTGTGGGGAGTCAATGAACACAAATGACCCTGGATGTGTTTGGGGAAAGCCCAGCAGATGTTTACCCTTGGAAGGGACGATTATCCCCACGGGGAGCCTGTGGCTCCCTCAGAGGGCCCTGGTTCTCTGGGATGACAGGTATATGCAAAAGGCCAAACACTGGCCATTTTACGGTGAAGCTGAGCCTTCACCTCCCTGCCCCTTTAAAGAGCCTGGATAGGAACTGAAGCACAGGTCCAGGTGGGGAATAGAAAAGTCTATGGGGCAGAGGACAGAACAAGTTGCTCACCTGAGGGGACGGTAGCTCAGCCTAGAGGTCCTGGGGCCCTGGGATGGCTCAAGGGCCTCATGCTCACCTCCTAGCCCTCTTGGCAGGGTTAGGAAAGCCACTTCCTCTCATTTGAGCTGCTGGAATCCACGTTAGGAACATACAGGATTGCCAGGTCTCATTTTGTAGCTCCTTTCTTTTGGGTGCAGGTGGGCTCCCAGGGTGACATATCATTGCTCTCTCTGGGTAATTATGTATTTCTTAAGATTAAAACGGCCACCTCTGTTGGAGAGGTAACTTCTTCCAGGTGGCAAAGATCCTGTTAGATCCCCTTAGTGAAATTCTCTAAGAAACAAGGTCCATTTGTCTTAATCAAGTCAACACTGTCCCCAGTGAAGACTGTATTAGACAAACCAAGTCATTTGCTATTGAATCGCTCCCAAGTAGACCAGAAGAACAGTGTACACATGTCTAAGAGTGGTCCTCAGCTACCCTTACCATATGGGCCTGCTTGTTTCCCAACCAGGCAATCTAGCACATTACTTAGCCTGAAAGCTTTCAGATTAAATCTCGTCAGCACGGAGTTTCCACCGTGATGTGAGGCATTCATAGTCCTCAGTGTAGCCAGGGTATCTTAGTTCATGAGTGACATGGGACCAACACACTCACCAAACACTGTCCAGACTTTTGGGTCCTAGGAATTTAGTCTTTGCAGGTGTTTCTTCTATTTGCCCCCCTTGATGTGGGTCAGTCTCGGGCTGACGTGGTGTTTGATCCCTGCTTGGCAGCTGTCATCCTCGAGCTTCTTTCCTGGTCATGTGTATTCCTACCTAGGGTGTAAAGAACAGGAACACTGGAATCCTGTTGGCTGACAATAAATCTCCGTTCTTTTGTCCACAGAGGATCAAATTCTCTCAGAACTTGGCCACACCAATAGGATTTATGGCAACGTGGGGGACGTTACAGGCGGACAGTTAATGAATGGGAGCTTCTCCATGGACGGGACAGGACAATCCTATCAGGACTTGAGGGATGGGAGCCCCTATGGAATCCCCCAGTCTCCATCCTCCATATCGTCCCTGCCGTCCCACGCTCCTCTGCTCAATGGGCTGGATTACACAGTGGACAGTAATCTGGGCATCATTGCACATGCAGGGCAGGGAGTGAGCCAGACGCTGAGAGCCATGGCTGGGGGACCCACCTCTGACATCTCCACAGGAAGCAGTGTAGGCTATCCCGACTTTCCAACTAGCCCAGCCTCTTGGCTCGATGAAATGGATCATCCTCCGTTTTAAACATCTGTCCTCCCCACCCTACCTGTCCTTCTGGCTTGAGAGAATATCTTCAAGGATCAAAAGAGACTTACCTTTTTAGGATCAAATGCGCACCAATGTGAATTTCCATTATTTTCAATGGAAGTCCTCTGCTGATCCCTAGGAGGTCACCGCACTAGTGTGCTGTTCTCCTGGGGAAATGGTGGGGGAGCAGCCTCCTCTCAGAACAGCACAGGGCGCAGAGCCTAGAGCGCTAGGGTGCTGGCTTATGCTCCCTCCCCCACCCTGCTTACAGGCTTTGGCTGCTCAGTGCTTGGCAGCAGGAGGTGACTGTGAGGCCACCCTGGCCTTAGGGAACTCTGCTCCAACTGGTATGTCTCATGAGATGCTTCCCACACCAGTGCTCTCACCAGAACTGAGATTCTGGTGACGTCACAGCCCTTAAATATAAGAAAAGTGATTTCTGAACTACCTTTATCAAACCCTAATTTCCAAAATAAAAAAGGTCACTTACTAAAGGTCAGTAGAAACTTTGATGGCCACAGTTTGATATAGAGACATGCCCTTCCTTTCTCTTCTGCTGTGAAGAATGACCTCTTCCCTCTCCAGAGAATGTCAGTTTGGGTCTGTGAGCAGCCCATCAGCATCACTGAATCCATCCCTGATGGCAAGAAGTGGTTTTCGTTGCAGGTGACTCTGAGGCTGGAGCTGAGTGGCCCTGGACCATCACAGCGACTGCCCGACGAGTCCCCTTGGAGCACAATGTGCCTTTTTAATTTGCTCATATCACTTATTCCACTAGACAGGCTGTGGCTTACACAACGATCAAAGCTAAAATATGGAGAGACCAGAAAGACAATCAGTGAAAACATTTGTAGACCCATTTGGATTCCAAGCGTGCTGTCCGTTTAGCCAAATCAGCAGATGCCAGTCTCCCAGAGTCCCTGCTCCTGAAGGGGAAATGATACTGTGAGTTTGTTTTGAGGTAGTTGGTTTAGATGAGTTTGCAAGTCCATACCCACCTGCAGCCAACCCTCCCTAGCCCCCTAAAAAGGAGAGCTTTCTCTGCTGTGCTAGCCGACTCAGTTGGAGGACTGTTTTGGCCTCTTCCAAGTACTAGCAATGCTTTTTGGCTGGGAGCAATCATTTAGGGAGCAGCCCTAAAGTTGTCAGAGTTCCAAGTGGTCCTTGGGCTGCATCTCCCTGGGTTGCTGGCTGGCCTCACACCAGGCCCTGTGGTGCTCCAGCCCTGCACTTGCTCAGAAAGGGGAGCTCTCCAGCCAGTGGCAGTGCAGACTCAGCTTATGGGTTTCAATAGCATATCACCAAGCCTGAGGCAAGGGCAAGGCCAACCCCTGCTTTGTGAGCTGCCAGCCCTGTGACAGGCCGCACTTCGGGGGGACATACCATGGTGAAGGTGCCGTGGCTCCTACTTAATGCACCACCCTTCGACCTTGCCGGAGGTTCTCCATGTGCACACTGGAAATTAGCCAGGGGAATTTATGCGTCCCCTGGGAAATGGTGGTTTACTTCTCTGGTCTCCTGTTTTCTTAAGATCAGCAGAGTAGGGAAGGGTAAGAAAGGCATTACCTTTTTCACGTGAAGTGATGGGGCCCAAGACCCTAACCACCCTTTCATGCCTGTCACGGTTTGAAGGTCGCAAAGATTTAAGAGTGTGCTAGGTAGACTCAAGGAAGAAATAAACCTTCCTCCTTGGCTCTTGCATCTTCTGCAAATGCCTTCTGAGGACTAAACTATGGGCAGTTAAGCTTCTTCAAACTGTATAGTCAGTAAATTCCTGGGGTCAGCCTTCAGGCCACCTTTCCCTGACCAGTTCTGTAGTGGACCCTTATTTTCCGACAGGCTGCAATTGTCGTGATTTTTGCTTGGGGAGTCCTGCAGATGCAGGATTTCTTCTTGAGGCTCCAGGATTAGGGATGCCAGAGGGTGAAGCCCAGACAATTCCCAATACAGTGAACAGTGGGGATGGCAATAATGACTCACAAGAAAGGCACATGCCGCAGTCTTCTGGGAGGACAGGTTCTTGAACATACTGTTCTCAGCAGGCAGCTCTCAGTGCACAGGAAGACTGTGTTGGGCAATGAACCAGTTAAAGACTGTCCCACCCAGACCACTGTGCAGCTCGGTTACTTGGCGTTGGAGCTCTTGGGATCTCAAGGTACTGCCTGCTTTTGGTGATTACCAGGGGCAGCAGACTCAAGGAACATGGCCCTCTGGGTAGCACTGTTTCTTTAAGATCAGTTGAGCAGTTTTTGTTTTGTATGCAAGTTAAGCTCATGCCTTATTCAATGGTTGGAGAACATGCTAATAACAGTCTTCTTCCATCGTGCTAGTAACAGTCTCCTGAGAACTCAGTGAGCGGGGCAGCTGGTGTTGGTGGGGCTGGCTAGCTATACTGGCCACAAAGCTGGGAGAGCTGAGTTCCCCAGAGCCTCCTCCCAGAGAGCAGCAAACGCTGGTGCTCCGTGTAGAAGCACAGCCAGGCCAGGCCTCAGATTCTAAGTGGCTCTCCTTGCAAGTGCAGTTAGCATTCTAGAGGACTGGTGCCACCAGTGAGCCACTGCGTGCCAAGACTGTTCCTTGGCTCTTCTGTGGCTGGAGATGGTGAGCACACAACGTACCTTGAGAGCCTCCTCCATTGCTCAGCGGTCTGTGACTGAGGTATAAGGTGCCTCCTGGGAGCTGCTTTCTCCTTGCTAAAGTGACACGGACACATTTGAAAAATGAAACAAGACCTTCTAGAGAATTTACATCATTTGAATCTGTCTGTGGCTCTAAGAGAGCAATTACAAGTAGCAACATTCATCTGAGCACCTGGCTGATAGACCATGGGACAGGAGGTTTTTGAATTCAGGAGCAAAATAATAATTAAAAACCCAGCAACACCTAAGCTTCCAGTAGTAGCTGGTATAAGCAAAAATGGGACACACGGGGCTATGGGAGAATCTCTATTTTTAAAGAGTAATAAAACCACAGAAGAAATCCCCAATGCAAAGCTAAGCCAGCCCACCTGTTAAATCACATTATTGGGAAGACTGGTCCTGGCCCTTTCAGGGACTTGCTGTGCCACTTGAGGCAAACTCCTTTCTGTCTCTGTGCTTTCTTTTTCTCGCCTCAGCTAATAGTTAAGAATATAATAGAAAGTACAAATCAACCACCATATTGATAATATTATTCCTGCAAATTAATACAGTGAAATGTCAGGGAAAAAGGACAAAATTAAGACATAAGAAAAGCATTTAGCCCTAGCCAGTTTGGCTCAGTGGATAGAGTGCTGACATGTGGCCTGAAGGGTCAGGGTTTGATTCCGGTCAAGGGCACGTACCTTGGTTGCAGGCTTGGTCGCATGCAGGATGTCTCTCTCTCACATTGATGTTTCTCTTTGTCTCTCCCCCTCCTTTCCACTGTCTAAAAATCAATGGAAAAAATATTCTTGGGTGAGGATTAACAACAAAAAACAACAACAAAAAGAAAAGCATTTAGCTATGTTTTTAAGTGTTTTGTTTTTTTTTTGCCAATGTAAAACATGAAATCTAATAAGATAATTGAGGGCCATTCAATCTTCATAATTAAGTTCACTTTGCAAGAAGTAATCTGTAGATATGAAAGATACGACCACCTCTTGAGGCTCAAGCTGATTATTTTGAAACAACTGCCTCCTTGCTGGAGTGGGTTGAAGGCTTCAGCTGAGCAAAAGCTGTTATGGACGACCGTGCGTCCAGCATCCACTCTCCCTTCCAACCTCTCCCACATGCCACTACTGACAACTTGGTTCTAACTGTGGAAATGATGACCATACCTCTTCAGCCAGCAGGGTCTGGAAGGACTGAGGAGGCTCATTTTTAAACATTGCACTTTAAAAATTGGAACCCGTGAGATGAAGACAAATTCAATTAAGCGGAAATGAGTTCTGTTTTATTGCCTGCTGCTGAAGGGCCCTGGGCACGCTGAAAGCGAAATAAAAAGCACATCACTGGCTCTCTCTTTCTTGGATTGGTCAATTGGCCCTTTTTGCAGTAGTTGCTCCAACTGTCTCCCACAGTGACAGGAGCCAAAAAGAGAGAGCTCAGCAAAGTCATCCCACCCACACTCTGCTTGGTAGGCCCACGAAAGCACAGTTTCATGCTGCTAGCTCTGGGAGGAGACAGCTACAGGTCTGGAGGTGTGCCAAGCGTTCCTTTGCTTAGGGAGGCAGAACTCAGGTGGACAGAGAAGGATACCCTCACTCTCACTGCTGCCCACCTGGAGACAAAATCATTTTTACTCCCTCACTCGAGGACTGCGTGCAGCCAACTGGGCAGGTTCGGGGCTGCAGGATCCTAGATGCTGCTCTGAACTTGCATTCAGACCTCAAAGCACCTGCTCCCCTAAGCTCTGGATTGTTGCCCTCACCCTTCCCAGTGTACATTTTGTACAGTGAAAAGAAATGAAGTCTCATTTGCTGGAAAAAAAAGGAAAAAAGACAAAAAAAGACCCACCCATCCTTATTTATTGCCATGTGACTTTGAAACAGAAGCTGGTGCGTTTGTTTGTATATGCCTCCTGTGTGTTGGCATGAGATGTGTATGGTAAAACTATGTTAAATAAATATGGATGTTCTTTAGAAGGTGGTGTGTCTTGGTTTTCATTTAGTTTTCTCTCTTGACCTAAATCAAATGCAAAGCTGTGCTGACATGGGCCCCTTTTATCACCAGAAGAAAACCCACAGTACAACTCCGAATGCCAGAACTACTTACATCCATAAATAGCAGAACTGCTCAGTGAAGGGGTGGTTAGAGTTCTCCGATTTCTCTTACAGCAATGTTCTAGGGCCCAATCCTCTGCTCCTAGACTTAGGGAATGGGCAGAGAAACCTGTTGACTACATTCTTTTTAGTTAGTTTGTCCTTCACACTTTACACATTTTCTTCCTTGAGAAAGTATGTGCAAATGTCTACATTTGGGTGAGAGGTGGATAGAGGGTTAGAAACACCTCATCAGAGTCATCAGGGCTCTTAAACAAGCTTTTCTAGGAAAATCTTCATTCAGACTTTTTCTCCGCAGGAGGCTTTATTAGTGTGCCGGACCTGAAGTATAGTGAAGATGGAAAGAGCAACAGAGATTCTTTAATTAAAAAAAAAAAGAGTCATAGCCTTTCTTTAGAGCTGGGGTCCCAAGTAGGAAAAACTAGAGAATGCCTTTTCCATTGGTGATTAGTAGTTTTGTTTGGTTGAAGAGAAGATCCAAGCAGAGGTGTATTGTCCAATATGGTAGTTACTAATCACACACGGCTATTTACATTTAAACTGCTTAGTATAAAGTGAAAAGAAGTTCATTTCAGTCCCTCACACTAGCCATATTTCCAGCGCTCAAGAGCTATGTGTGGCTATGGTATTTGGACACAAATATAAAACATTTCTATCACTGCAGAAAGTTCTACTGGTTAGTGCTGATGGCATCTGGCTCAGCAGCAACAGAGAAAACTCATTCATCACCTCTTTAGTTACTAGTTAACCTGGAGCACTTGGGGACGTATTCTGAGAGTCCTCAGACAGTGGTAGTGACAACTGTCACATCCTGTGTGGCTTGTTTAGGTACAAAGCATGAGGCTGGGTCTTGGGATCAGTTCTCAGTCTGTATAAAGTGAAAAGAAGTTCATTTCAGTCCCTCACACTAGCCATATTTCCAGCGCTCAAGAGCTATGTGTGGCTATGGTATTTGGACACAAATATAAAACATTTCTATCACTGCAGAAAGTTCTACTGGTTAGTGCTGATGGCATCTGGCTCAGCAGCAACAGAGAAAACTCATTCATCACCTCTTTAGTTACTAGTTAACCTGGAGCACTTGGGGACGTATTCTGAGAGTCCTCAGACAGTGGTAGTGACAACTGTCACATCCTGTGTGGCTTGTTTAGGTACAAAGCATGAGGCTGGGCTCTGGGCATCAGTTCTCAGTCTAAGGACGTCACCAGGTTGTTGGGACTCAGTACCTAAGTTTTAGACTTACTTTGTGCCCCACAGTCAACCCAGTTAAACAGGAAAGGCAGTACGTTCTCAGGCAGGACCTCCACTGAGATTGTTGGAGGGCTTCAAGGTCTTTCGTGGAGACCCAAATCTCTGCTCTGGACCCGGGCCGAGTCATCTCCTGTGGTAAATACTTTACAAGGCTGAGAAAGGCAAAGGCCTTACTGGGTATGTGCCAAGGAAGGCTGAGGTTCAGAAGGACCTTACTAGGTGCGAGCGAGGGCGAAGACGAGAGCACCCAATGGGAGCGGGGAGTTTGGATAGAGCAATAAGGAGGTGCTGCACATGAGGACTTTTGTTTCGTCCCTCGCTTGGGTGGTTGTTAGGGAAATTTGCCAGGTGGCTATGAAGGCCTCTGTTGCTACTAAATGTGATTACTTATCTGGGTATTCCTGAGGAACTCATAATGGGGCTCGAGAGTTCTGCCAGTGTATGCAGTAGGCTATTGATTCTAACACTGTACACCATGTCTGTAGTCTATTCTCAAACCCTCGTCACAAGCTGTCTCTACTGAGTCTTTGTTTTCCAAACTCTGTCAGTCGCTTTGAGTGTATCAGGCTGACGATTCATTGGAGTGTTTCCACTTGGTGTTCTAGTGCACCCTGATCCCACCACACTAATCTAGTAGCAACGTTTTGGAATTACCAAGTAAGTTCTCAGCTCACAAAGGGAGGGAGGATCGGGTCCTTCTTTCTGGCTCGGTCACTGGAGACCAGCTCCTGAGCACTATTCTCTGACAGAGCCTTTTCAGAAGGACAGCTGCTTAACACATTGCGGACCAGTAGTCTTACTGCTAGCTTTACCCAGTGGCCAGGTAAGTTTCTATTGAACAAGTACAAAAAACGTTTTACACAAATGTTAAAGGCACGCTTTAGAATTAAATACCCATTGCATTTTGAAGTTATTCATTACATGTTATTACAAGCTAATATCTTTTTAAAGTACGATACTTTGTAAAAACACTGTGTACTATGAAGTGAGAATTCTCGTGATCCATCCGCAATGTGTTAAAGAAGAATAAAGGAAAGAAATCACCGGCCAGAAAGAATGAAATAAAACTCAAACTCAGGAGAGCTGAGGAAGGCACAGCAGTCAGTGTCTGCACTGCTTGCCCTGCCTGCTTTCTCCTTGGGGCCAGGATTCCCCTCAGCCAAAGTCAGAAAAGGAGGAAAAAAAGACCAAAGGTAAGTCAGTACGTAGTAAATTTTAACCAATTGTCAAACTAGAAGTAAAAATCGTAAAAGGTGATCCTCAACGTTTCTGAATGTATTTCCTTAGATGTGCTATTTGAGACATAGTTTAAAAATTGTCCTTTACAGTCTAAACAGAAAATGGTTGCATCCCTTTGCCATACCTCTTTAGACGGATGCTATTTCAGTTTGGTCATTTGGAAATAAATCCTTGCCTTCCCTCTGGTCCTCTGCTGGATGTGCAGTGAGCAGCGAGCAGTGGCGCTCGGTTGGGTGCTGGTGTGGGTCACGGCTGCCCCAGAGAAGCAAGCAATGGTTAGCCACTGCTGCTGAGGAAATACTGTGTTAGGAGGGAGAAAAAAACCCAATGTTTATAAAATGGGGCCAAATCACTAGAAAGAAGAAACTTACTACACCTTTATAAAAGGAGTAATAAAAAGAATCCATCCAAACTATTAAACAGAGGTCTTCAAGTCGTCTGCACCTGCCCTGGGAGAGTACATCACTCCCTTTTGGAGGGAGTGGGCTACTGACTATAACACTTCTTAATAAATTTTTCTTTCCTTTTCTTCTCTCCTTTTTGTCCAATGTGACTTCAGGATTTTCCTTTAGAACCCTTTCCTTCGGCCTCTCCCCCATTAAACACAGACATTGAATGTAGGCATGTTATTAACTGGGATGTTATTCTGTAATTAAATGGACAAGTCACAGGCTGTCCCCGGCAGTGCACTTGCTCCCCCAGAAGGGGCTCCTAGGGCAGAAATGCTGCCATGTGACTTACGCACACCTTGGGTTATTTAGTAACTACCGCATCGACCAGAACTTCCAGGAACGGCTATCGCTGAAGCTGGGGGAGAGGTTTTGTTCTGTTTTTTAAAGATTTATCTTCCTCTCACTTGCTTGCCAGTGATCTCCTGTTGCCTGGGAGGGGTTTGGGGATTTTGGAAAGGCTGGGAATTGCTTCCTGAAAGATAAAATACAGACCCCAAAGAGTAGTCTTGGCACACACACTTGGAGTTGGAAATAAAGCAGTTAAAAAAGGCAAAAAAAAAAAGGCCATTAAAATGGTAAATAGGTTTCAACAGATGGCTCCAGCACAGCAATGGAAAGTCCAGGCAAGGACTTTGGGGTTAAATCTCGTATTTTAGTCACCTGGGACAATTACTCCAGAAAAACAAACATCTGTCAAGTTGCCAGCTCCACTCCTCTAACGTGGAGCCCTTGACCACTGCCTGCTCATTGCCAGCGGATGGGTAGCCGCCCGCAGACAGCCACCTCGGGAATCGAGAGTTGCTTTTTCGACACCTGTCAACTGCAGGGCTTAAGCTCACTCAGGCTAGAGGAATATGAGAACCAAGAGCTATATTACTGATGGGCCTGGACTTTTATACTCAATATGTGTGCTGGCTCTATTATTTTTTTTTAGAATCATTTTAACATTTAATGCTTCTCAATTAAAGTGGTTTCCCTGAGTGGATGCCAAGCTTCGTTTAGAATGCGCATTAACCACTTTCCCCATCAGTAGTTAAAGGCACTGAGGGATTTAAACAGCAATCCACAGGTCTGTTCAGTCAAGGTTTGGCGGAATAAAGCAGATTATAAACAATAATATATGTCTTTCTCTTCTTTTTTTGGAAGGGTTCCAAACTCACAAACGGAGCTAAAGTGCTATAAACATATCCAGGCCTAAGCTTTGGGCTCTACAAATGTACTCTGTGAAAGCCACCGGCCCTGGTGGTGCCACTTTTTATCCCGTGTGTGTATGTGGGCACGTACTTTAAAAGAGTATTTTATTATACAAAGTGTCCATCAACTGAACTTACCTTCTAAGTATTAAAATGGAAACCGGCACTGCTACACAAGCGAGAGGAAAAATAAATCCTGACTGCAGGGTGGGTGATGAATTGGCTGTTGCAGCCCAGGGCAGCCCACTGAAAGTCATCCCTCTGTTCCTCAGGCCTCACTGCCCCCATGTTCAGCCTCGGCCTTCATAGTGTCAGGTTCAAATGGTCCTTTTCCCACATGTGAGAGAAACCCACCCTTAGTGCCCGGAGTTCCACCATGAGGCAAACGAGTTAATGGGGCCATCACTGAATAGTTCCACTGGGTTTTTAACCTCAGTGTTGTTCTATTGCAAACTCATGTTCATTACTTCTAAATGTATACACTGGCACGTACCTTGTGAACGCCCCGCTCTGGCTCCCAAGGCTGGAAGCTTCCTATTGCCACAGGAAGGAACAGCACCCTCGGAAATGACTCCAGCACACAGGTCCCAGAAGGAGAGTAAAAGATGTAAAATAATGACATTCATTTTATAACAATATACTAAAACACAGGAAAGAAAGTTTGAAGAATTTATATGTAAAAGTAAAAATAGTAAGGAATAAAATGTCACGAATGCCCAGTAACTATGGTGATCCATACAAGGTTCAAGCCACTACGTCCTGCTTTTCGAGGAGAAGCATGACAGGACTACTTTAAGGATAAGTGAATAAAGATGAGGTTAAATAGCTTTTCCTGTTCAGTCCTTTAATGCAATTAACGCATATGTAAAAAATTGATCACTCTCGGCACATAATAAACGTTAGGTGGTAAGTATAACAAGGGAGCTTTCCCCCATCAGTCTGATAATCATTATACTTTGGTCCAAAATCTCTCTGATGAAGGAACTGTGAATGGTTATTAAAATAATTAAAGCTGCTCAAGGTAAAGCCCCAGTAACGACTGTCATAATTTTTCAAATCACATGATTACAGAAGACTGCCTTGAAGGCTTTTTATGTTTTAAGGAGAAAATCCAATGTGCATATATAAAATCCATAAGAGGCTTAACAATGCACCTTTGAGTGTGGTTGCTTTTGTTTGCACTTTAGCTTATCCTGAAACATGGTGTAAAACTTTTGAACTTGGTATCACTAGGCTTGGTAGATCATTTCAATTCTGTGTAAAAGTCTATATAAAGATGGGCATTTTCCTATCAGTTCTGAGTTTTTCTTTGCCATTGTAAAATAGAGAAAATACCAATTATTTCTGCTTTTATAATGATTGTGAGGTTCAATTAACATGTTTGCCTATAAAGTCCTGTATAAAAGTAAGGTGTATTTAAAAATGGAACTCCCACTGAAACCGGTTTGGCTCAGTGGATAGAGCGTCGGCCTGCGGACTGAAAGGTCCCAGGTTCGATTCCAGTCAAGGGCATATACCTGGGTTGCGGGCACATCCCCAGTAGGAGATGTGCAAGAGGCAGCTGATAGATGTTTCTCTCTCATCGATGTTCCTAACTATCTCTCTCCCTTTCTCTCTGTAAAAAATCAATAAAATATATATATTTAAAAAGAAAAAAGATGGCCTGCGGGGTCTCTGACCATCGGAGAAAGATAAATATCACATGATCTCACTCATATGTGGGATATACTGATCAACATTATTTGATGAACAAGAATAGATCCAGAGACAAATGATGAGGAGGGGAGGGTTAGAGAGCAACCAAAGGACTTGTATGCATGCATATTAGCATAACCAATGGACACGAACACAGGGGCAGTGGGGGTCAATTGGAAAAAAAGGAGACATGTAAAACTTTAGACAAAAAACAATTACGGTGTAATAACTGTCATGTCATTGAAGTTCAGATGTATTGATTGTAAGGTACGTTAGCTTATGTATGAATCACTAAGAAAAAACGCTGCCAATTCAACTTTGACATGCCATTGTTTGTAAAAGAACCAATTTTGGATACGTTAAAATACAAAAAAAGAGAATTGATCAGATATAGTATTATAAATTCTATTAAAGCATTTGACCCAAAACACCATAGGAATTGGAATTTGAAATTCACTTATAAATATTTAAATGCAATATTTTCATTACTAAATTGTGGCTGGTAGGTTACATGTTTATTCTGTGATAAACATTTATTTATAAAGGGATAAAAGCCTTCATGTTTCAACTGATAAACATTAAATAAACATTTAAAAGTCTTCATGTTCAACTGAAGCATGTATTAGCCTGGGCACTAATCCCTCCTGCAATCCAAACTCAGCTTTGCTATAGTCACACGCCTTGTTCATTAATCCTCAGAGATGCCATGTACACGGAATAATAACCCATAGCCAAGTAGTTAAACCTGGCAGGAAGCTAAGAAATACCTATTTAATAGAAAGGTTCACTGGATTATAGCAACCTTTTAGCTGGAAAATGCTGAAACATTAAAAAAAGATATAATAGATATGCTTCTAGATATTATACTTTGGTTGTTACCCTTCTACCTGACAAGCATAAGAGATAACAATACGTGGCCAGTTGGCTGACTTCTTACATCTTTATTAGAGACACAGTTAAAGTAGGTTTAAAAGATTTAGTGAGTTTTTGATTAGCAATTTATGAAATTCTATGAGGCTTTTCAAGATATCTCATGCAATGCCTTGAAATAACATGAGTAATTGTAAATGTACACGATAATGAGAGGAGGGAATGACAGTACCTGCTGTTTAGTAAACTCTCAAGACGTATTGGTGGCAGAGCTTGAACACTTCACAGGAGTTTTGTGCTCTAATAGAAAGGACGGCAATTCAGCAGACTTGGTTCTAATTGTGGCTCTACTGCTATTCTCTAACCTTGGGCAACTGAAGTAACTGTTTATGTCTCAGGTTCATCCTTGTTTAAGTGGCCTTAATAGCAGCTGCACTACCTAATTTATAAGGCTACTGTGGAGGGGCGGTTTAAGCATCTTGAAAAGCCGCAAAAGCTAAACATATAAACAAGCATCATTAGTGAGTGACACAGAATTAACAGGTGGGCTCATTTCTGCCCTGTAGCAGAATGAGAAGTCAAGGGCCAACTTTTTGGCCAGTTCTCTTTAGAAATTTCCCAGTGTGGTAGTCAGTGATAAAACTATAGTCTATATTGTTAGAAATCTTGATCAATTGTTTTAAAAAAGCACATCTCCCATTCTTTCAAATAGGCATGACAACACCTCAGATATTATCTAGTAAAAGCACTTAAAACCATGGAAATTGGGCCAGTCAACACAAGAATTCTCATTTTTGAAATACTCTTAACAAGGAGCCAGGAAAAAGGATTCTAGGTGGGACCCACAGACCCCTGTGAACTATACTTCAAGGCCATTGTAATCAAAACAGTCTGCTATGGGCATAAGAACAGGCATATAGATCAATGGGACACAACAGAGAGCTCAGAAATCAACCCATGCGTCTATGGTCAATTAATATTTAACAAAGGAGGCAAGAGACTACAATGGAGTAAAGATAGTCTCTTCAATAAAAGGTGCTGGGAAAACTGGACAGGCACATGCAAAAAAATGAAACCAGACCACCAACTTACACTACACAAGACTGAATTCAAAATGGACAAAAGACTTATAAATATATGTTGCAAAAACATAAAAATTTTAGAAGAAAACATAGGCAGTAAAACAGACATCTCTTGTAGCAACATTTTTACCGATATGTCTCTGAGGGCAAGAGAAACTCTGAAACATATACAAATGCAACGACATCAAGTTAAAAAGCTTCTGCGCAGCAAAAATAAAATCAACAAAATGAAAAGAGAACTCACTGAATGGGAGAACATATTTGCCACTGATATATATGATAAGGGGTTAATTTCCAAAATATATAAACATACAATTCAACACCAGGAATACAAACAATCCAATTAAAAAATGGGCGAAGGACCTGAATAGATGCTTCTCAATACAGGACATACAAATGGTCAACAGACATGCAAAAATGCTCAAGGTCACTAATTATCAGAGAGATGCAAATAAAAACTAGACCTAACATCTGCCAGAATGACTACTATCAATAAATCAATAAACAACAAATGCTGGTGAGAATGTGGAGAAAGAGAACTCTTGTGCACTGCTGGTGGGAATGCAGTCTAGTGCAGCCACTGGGGAAAACAGTATAAAGTTTCCTCAAAAAATTAAAAACGGAACTGCCTTTGACCCAGTGACCCCATTTCTGAGAATATACCCTAAGAATTCTGAAATACCAATCAGAATATATGTAACCCTATGTTTACAGCAGCATTTTTTATAATAGCTAAGACCTGGAAATAGCCCAAGTGCCCATCAGCAGATGAGAGAATAAAAAAGCTGTGGTACATTTACACAATGGAATACTATATGGCTGTAAAAAATAAGGAAGTCTTACCGTTTGTGATAGCATGGATGAACTTGGAGAGTATTATGCTAAGTGAAATAAGCCAGTTAGAAAAAGACAGATACCATATAATCTCACTAATACGTGGAATATAATGAACAAAATAAAATGAACAAAATGGAACCAGACGCATGAATACATGGAACAGACTGGCGAGTGCCCAAGGGGAGGGGAGTGGGTATGACTGGATAAAGAAGGTGAAAGAAATAGCTAAACAACATATATGCATACCCCATGGATACAAGTAGGTGGGGAAAGGAGGAGGTGGACAAAAGTGAGGGGAAATGGGGACTCCTGAAATTATGTCAACACTAAAATTTGTTTTAATAAAAAAAACACACTAAAATAAAAGCTGCATACATCTTGGTTGCATTTGCTGTAACTAGTGCATAATGTCTCTTAAAACACATTCAATTAATATGGAACATGAGAGTATTTAGATAAACAGTAGGTTGCAATGTAGCTGGATTGTGGGAAAAGCACAGATAATGAAGAGAAAGCTTTACTAGAATGATAGTACCATTTCAGCACGTACTAACATGCATATTTCTTCTACAGATAATTAAAAACTGAATAGCCTTGGGAATGGCTTGGCTTACATCTCAGAAAATAAGTTAGTTTAGAAAAAAAGTGAGCAGCATTAATAATGTCCCATTTCTGAAGGGGCTTGTTTCAGGACAGGTTAGCCTAAGCTACTGGAAATCCTGTCCATTGTCGAGGGCTCCACTAAGCACGCTTATTGCTTGTTATCTAAATAACAACATATTAGAAACATTATTTTTAGCCCTGACTGTTATGGCTCGGTGGATGAAGCGTCGGCCTGCGGACTGAAGGGTCCCAGGTTCAATTCCAGTCAAGGGCATGTACCTTGGTTGCAGGCACATCTCCGGTGGCGGGGTGTGTGTGTGTGTGTGTGTGTGTGTGTGTGCAGGAGGCAGCTGATCGATGTTTCTAACTCTCTATCCCTCTCACTTCCTCTCTCTAAAAAATCAATAAAATATATTAAAAAAAAGAAACATTATTTTTAAATGGTCATCTTTGCACCTCAACCTGTTTCTTACTTCATTTCTTTTCATATTACAACTGTCTACTTTCCTTACATAATAAGAAATGTCAAAGAATTCCCCAGATGGAGTTCTTTAGGCTTAAAGGGGAAAATGTAGGAGCCAGTTTCAACAGTGTCATACTTATCTATCCTTTACATTAAAACTGTGGCATACTTGTATTTTTAACAAAAAGCAGATGCTCTCCTGGCACCTTGAAATAACTTTAATCACACTAAGTACTGAGGCAGTATGGCTATTTCACATTCCCAAACAGGCCTAACAGTTCAGACCTGAGCCCATATGCAGAGGCTGCTGCCATATGTGACAGGGACAGTATAGTCAATTAAGACGGCCCTAGGGAATTGCTCCCTATTATGTGAAGGTGAGTTGAAGATATCCTGATCTAACCAGTGAATTCTCCAGAACCTGTGTCTCAATCTTAGAGTGAGGTCACTAAATCTTATTCTGGTACTTCCTGTGACTTCTATATCCCAGGAAATGCTGCCCTTCTGCCTTTTCTTTTTCTTAACACCCCTTTTCTTTCTTATCTTCCCAATTCAGTCTGCCAAGAGGCTAGACATTTTAGCTCCCTATTCAGACCCGCTGTACAAAATGCCACACGGTTGTGTGATCCCCACCACACTGGGATTTCATGCAAGTTTCCCTCACTGTCAGTCACATTTTGTTTCTGTATGTTTCTTAAAAGAGCAGTCATGTTTAATATTGTGAACTATGATGCGACTCCTCTCCCTACCCTCAAGAACAGTGATAAATTTCAGAGCACGCTCAGCAGAACTGGACTGCATTATGCACAGTACACGTTCATCGCCAAAACTGTACTCGCCGGAATGTATGCAAGCAGAATGAATTGCTGAGACTTCAAAATCCCCGTTCCTCAGAACTGATTTTATTAGCCAACGTACACCAAAGATAGGTGGTAAAAGAAGTATGGTTTTCTTGCATCACTGAAGCCCTATGCTGTTAGACTGTAGCTTTCCAGTCTCTGCTTAGGCCTTGCCAGCCGTGTGCTGCTGCAACACCAGAGACACAGCTTTGCAACCTGTCACCTCCTCCGGCAGGCAGCCATCCTGGTCTCGCAGAGTGGGGTCCGCGCCGGACTGGAGCAGCAGCTCCACGATGTCCAGAAACTCACAAGCAGCAGCTGACAGGGAAAGTGACAGACATGAAAACAAGGTTACTCAGAGACAGAGACCAGACTTCAGCATGGGGGTCCCGTGCTGGGCTGTGAGGAATCCAGACGACGAGAACCCTTACAGTGGCTGTAGGGGATCTGGCCTCAGAAGCAGAACTGTGCCGGTACAGTGAACTTGTGAATGTTAGGAAAATCAAATTTACTTTTTTGGTTACCCAAAAGCAAACAAAGAAATACACTTTAAATTTTATTATGATAAAAAAAATCTTTTAATTGATTTTTTATGAGAGAGAGTAAGGGAGAAGGGAGACAGACAGATAGATGAGAGAAACTGATCAGCTGCCTCTTGCATGCCCCCTACTGGGGACTGAGCTCGCAAACCCAGGAAAGCTGAGAACTGGCTGCTGTCTCACAGAAACAACAGAGGGTCAAACGCAGAGAGGCTGGGTTTCAATCGCACTGGACAGGGTGCCTGGAAAGCCACACTAAGAAGTTTGGGGTTAATAAGCTGGGGAGTGGCATAATTTGGCTTCTGTATTAGGATGATCATTCTGTAAAGAGCGACCTGAAAGTCTAGAAATTTGTGGCAGCAGACCTATTAGGAGATTGTGGTAGTTCTTTTAAGGGGCTTAACATTAGCCAGTGTTAGCAGAAATATAAGAAGGGACTGAAAAAGAGAGCCAATGAAAGTCAAGGAGAAGGACATAGCAAAGTAGTTAAAAAATGTCACTGTACACTAAATTTAATAATTAACGAAGCTGGTATGTTTATAGACCCTTAAACATTTAATTATTTATATTTCGTAATTTTCTTTTTTTGTGGGACAAAAAACATTTTATTTCTAATGTTTCTAGGTTTTTGAAATGCTCATAGGCTCAAGGCCTATGATTATAATGTTTACTGAATAAAATGGCCCGAATATTTCTACATTTGATATGAAACCCAGACACAATAAATAAAATAAATGTTAAATTTGAATGCATGGAAACCTAAAATTGATAAATTTGAACACATAAAAATTTAAAACAGCTATACCATACACACAAAAACACTATACATTTACATAAACTGGGGAGGGACCGTGGGAGACACGCTCCAGGAAGTGTTTGGCCCGTCTTGCCCAGTTCCAATCCGCCGGACCCTAGCAGCAAGCTAACCTACCAGTCCGAGCATCTGCCCCCTGGTGATCAGTGCATGTCATAACGACTGGTCAAATGAATGGTTGGACATGTAGTATATAAGGCTTTTATGATATAGGATCACAATTTATGTATATAAAAGCCTAGGCAACTGTCCGAACGGCAGCTATGACGCACGATGACTTTCAGGGGGCAGATGCTCAAAGGAGGAGCTGCCAAGCTGTGGTAACTTGGCAGCTGCAGTTCTTGGGTGATGGACCTGGAGCCAGATTCCAGGGTATGTCGCCTGAGAACCACCCTCTTGAAATCTGGGACCCCTCTGGAGATGTCGGAGAGCTGGTTTCAGCTCAATCCCCGCAGGCCAGGCCGAGGGACCCCACCTGTGCACGAATCCGTGCACTGGGCCTCTAGTTTTATTATAATTTACTACGGGCCCAGTATACAAATTTGTGCACCTTGAAAGGAACTGTGGGCTGCGAGGCTGCGGTGGGCACATCCTCCATGCTCCCACCCGGCCCCTCCTGCCGCGGCCCCCAGTCCCATCTGCCGGCAGCCCCACTCCCATCGCCACTGCTCCCATGCACTGACAGTGCTGGCCCTGCTCGAACCTGCTGACAGCGCAGAGCAATTGGGGCCGGCACCAGCGGCAGATGTGAGTGGGGCTGGAGGCTTCAGCAGGTGCGAGGGGTGGCTGCTGCCCCAATTGTCCTCAGGAGCAGAGGGAGGCTGGCAGCCTCACTCGCACCCGCTGATGGCGCTGAGCACTGGCAGCGGGTGTGAGTGGTGGCTCTGGCACCGGCTGCGAGTGGGGCCGGTACTGGCAGCAGGTTTGAGCGCCGGGCGGGACCACGGGGCAGGGGAGTATCAGTAACCACCAGAGGCTTTCCCTGATGACTGGCACCCTGCCTTGGTCTGGTGCCCCTGCTCACCTGCTCCACCATCCCGCGGTGGCTGATGCCTGCCATGTTCTGTACTCTGCTGCCTGCTGCTGATGCCCACCATGGTCCATGTACACACCCTGGTAGTCAGAGCACATCATAGCAACCAGTTGTTCGGTTGTTCTGCTGTATGGTCTATTTGCATTTTAGGGTTATATATATATATGATTATCTACTATACTGTACACCTGACACTACTAAAAAATAATATTGAATTTATATAATTGATTTTTTTTAATTAAAAGGCATACAAGTAAACTCTGAGAAAAAATTCACATATTACCTCCCATATTACCCAGGCATTCACAACTTCTATGGTATTAATCAACTTGGAGGGTAAGTGTGTAAGGGCAGAACAAACAATTTTAAATATCAAAGAAAAATTAAAACCAAATAAGGCCCTTTCAAATACTAAACCTGCAGCAGCAATCCATTTTACTTGATGGAGCACTATGGAGTAACTAGAGGTAACTCATTTTAAGAAATCAAATTAAGTGAATTTTAAATGTCTCAGCATTATACAATGAAAAGTGTCTTAGGACACGCATGGGAAAATTTGCCCAAGGTCTGGCAGCAGCTTGTGACATTAGGTAAATCTCTTAAGCCCCCTCAGCTGCCACTTGCTAATCCATAAACTAAGTACAATATTCCTTGCTGTTGCCTACTTCACAGGAGTAAGGACCAAATAAAACAATGAATGCAAACATGCTTTGTAATCCATAAAAGACAATGTAAATATTGTGTTTCATTTATAAAAATATTGTTTGCTTTTTTTTTTAAATTGGAGGATCACTCAATTTATTATGCAGGAAATAATTATTTCTCGGCAGATAGGGAGGTTGTGGCCCCGCCCCCTGTCACACACAGAGCCACAGGGCGATCAGGGGGTTTGGGCACTGCCCCCTGTCAGGCTGCTTCAGGGGCCAGGAGGCCTCGCGGCTCCACTAATCCCGGTGCTGGGAGGCATATTACCCTTTTACTATATAGGGTGGAGGCCTGGTGCATGCGTGGGGCCGCTGGTTTGCCCTGAAGGGTGTCCTGGATCAGGGTGGGGGGTCCCCACTGGGGTGCCTGGCCAGTCTGGGTGAGGGGCTGAGGGCTGTTTTCAGGCTGGGGGTGACTGAAGCTCCCAACCGCTCCTTTTTTTCTTTTTCTTTCTTCTGGGCCAGCTTTAGCTTTGAGGCTTGGCGCCAGCTCTTAGGCCTCTGCGGCTGAAAGTAGGTTTCTGGCCTTTGCTTACAATGTTGCGAATCTGCTGGCTGAAGTCCAGTGGTATTTGTTACATAGTTTCTTAAACTGCAGGCTCAGAGGCCTGCAGCCGCAGGCGGGAACGTTGGAGTCCTCCTTTCCTGAAGCAAGCAAGCCTCATGTGAGTTTCAATGTGCCTGGCTGCCGGCTGCCCTCTTGGCTGACAGTTAATTTGCATATCTCGCTGATTAGCCAATGAAAAGGGTAGCGGTCGCACGCCAATTACCATGTTTCTCTTTTATTAGTGTAGATTATTCTTTTTGTATAATGCTGGGTTTGATTTGCTAACATTTTATTGAAGATTTTTGCATCTATATTCATGAGTGATACTGGCCTATAGTTTTCTTTTCCTAGGGTCTCTTTCTGGTCTTGGTATTAGGGTAATGTCAGCCTTGTAGAATGAGCTGGGCACTCTTCCCTCACCTTTTATTTTCTGGACAGTTTGTGTGTAGAATTGGTATTATTTCTTCCTTAAACATTTAGAATTCATCAATGAAGCAATCAGGTTCTGAAGATCTTGATGTGGGAAAGTGTCTGGCTACAAATCAATCCCTTTAATAAATGTAGGGCTATCTAGGGTACCTATTTTTTTTGAGGGAAATAGTTTATATCTTTTGGTAGTTTGGGTCTTTTCAGAAATTTGTCCATTTACATTATCTAATTTATTGGCATAAAATTGTTCATAATGTTCCCTTATTTGCTTCATAATATCTGTAGAATCTATGTTGATATTTTCCTTTCATTCCTCAAATTGGTATTTTCTTTTCAAGACCTTTCAGTTTTATTGAACTTTTTAAAGGTTTCATTGATTTTCTCATGGATTTTTTTTTGGTTTTCTATTTTAATGATTTCTGCTCTGATCTTTATTATTATAATAGAGGTGTACATGGGTGGGGTCCCTGGGCCTGGCCAGTGATCAGGGCTGATTGGGGCCATTTCACCCAGTCCCAATTAGGCCCTATGGGGGCTGGCCGGCCGGAACAGGACTGCAAGAGGGCTCCAGGTTGTGTCCGGCCCGTCTCCCCCAGTCCTGATCAGCCAGACCCCAGCAGCAAGCTAACCTACTGGTCGGAGCATCTGCCCCCTGGTGGTCAGTGTGTGTCATAGCGACTGGTCGAGAGGTCGACTGATTGGTCGGACACTTAGCATATTAGGCTTTTATATACATATAGAAGAATATAGAAGATTCCTATGCTTATCTTGGACTTAATTTGTTCTTTTTCTAATTTTTTTTAAAAGGTAGAATCTTAGATCATTGCTTTGAGACCTTTATTCTTTTCAGTAAAGTATTTAATTTCCGTCTAAACACTGCTTTTAGCTGCATTCCACACATTTTGATAGGATATTTTCATTTTCATTTAGTTCAAAATATTTTCTAATTTCCCTTGATATTTCTTCTTTGACCTATGAATTATTTAGAAGTGTATTTAAATTTTTTACAATGGAGATTTTCCAGATGTGTGTCTGTTATTAATTTCTAATTTAATTCTGAGGTGGTCATAGAGCAAACTTTGTACAATTTCTTTTACATTTGTTGAAATTTGTTGTATTGCCTAGAATATGGTCGATCTTGGCAAAGTATTCCATGTGTACTTGAAATAATGTTTATTCTATTTATTAGATGGAAAGGTCTATAGATATCAATTAAGTCAAGTTGATTGACAGTACTGTTCAAATCTTTCAT